CACTGATTATCAAAGCTGGGAGAAGTGGCCATTGATTGAGCACTTACTATATTCCAGGTACTTTACAGCTTTAAAGTGAGTACCTGATTTAGTGGTTCAGCCATGACATAAGGCTGGTACTATTGTTATTCCCATTTTATCAAAAAAAAGAAATGGAACCACAGATAGTTTCACACCACCAATAAGCAGCAAAGGAGGAAATAGTTCCCTGCTCTGATGACTGTAAAGCAAGCATGTCAAGCCCAAAGGCTAACACGGGCCAAACCAACGAGGCATGTGGCCCTCGGACCGCGAGTTTGACGTTCTTGCTGTAAAGCTCCCACCGTCTCAACTGCCCTGACTGAAGAAATAGCCAGGGGAGGCTTCCTGGAGGAGGTGGGATCTGACCTAGGTCTTGAAAAGTAGGTGAGATGCACCTAACCCCAAGGGAGTAAGGGAATGAGGGCATGCTAGACAGAGGGAAGAGTCTTCAGTCGTACACAGAGGCACGACTGTGAACCCTGCTTGCTGGTAGACCTGCTGGACAGGAGCAGAGGAGATTAAGTCAGTAAGGCAGGGTGGGGCCAAATGATACCACACAGTAGCAGCTTCCTCCACGAGGAGGAAAAGGCTGCTCCTTGGCCTGTGCATGCCCCCAGAGAGGTACCTCACCCCCAAACCCAGGTAATCCATTCCAGACCCAGGTACCTCACCGGCAAACCTAGGTAATCCATTCTACCCCTTTCATCACTCTTCTCCATCCTAAGCATTGTCCGGAAAGTCACCTTCCCCAGGCTCTGAGAAGCTCATTTCTGTCCTCTCCTGAGTAGGCCTCTCCTTGTTTGCAGTAGTTTCCTCTTGCCTACTCAACAGCTTTTATGCACACAGCACCCCTTGGTGAAGCTTTCTCTCTCAGTTTTAACCTTTTCCAAAGCAGGAAGCAAATACGTTATATCAGTCAATCCTAAATCGCCGCCCCTCCACCGGACCCCAAATGGATTTAGGTGAGGATGCCAGAGGTTATGTATATATAAATGCCGAATTTGTGGTCACAGAAGCCATGGTCTCCGTGATTACTGTTTCTGGAGGCCTTTGAGATTCTATAGGACTCACATCCATTGGAACTTCAGGAGAATGTACCTGCGTAGGGAATCCCTGACTTGCACAGAGCAGTCGCTACTGAATGACTTACTTTGGATCCCCTCCCCACAGGAAAACTCACCATATCTACTGGGAATAATTCAACTTGGTGAGCACTCTTCCTATTGAAACCTCAACTAGGCAATGAAAAGTAGCTCTGGTGAGAATGGAAAACAAGGCAAACTCCTGCCAAATAAAGTACTTTGCAAACAACAGTAAAAATAAAACCTTGTGAACTCATGACCAGGGTCTATCGGTGCATTTCAGGAAGCTCCTACAGAACCTGAAATGGAGAATCGAATTGAGCCTCGACAGCCTCCTCCGGGGAGAAGAGCTTCCCTTTAAGAGCGTCCCTTTACCGGCTAGCCGCACTACAACTCCCAGAGCTTGCCTGGCTTGCCTCTTGGCCCCGCCCCCTGTCTCTGGCCTCAGCAACGCGTGACGTCACACGAGGCTGCCGCTGCCGATTGGCTAAGCGACGCAGCTAGGTCAAGTCCAGTCAGAGGAAAGAAGTTTGTCTCCATGTGGAAACCATGTGTCTCACGCTGGGAGGGGGTTGGAGGAGAAGGCGGAGAAACTGAGATCAAGTGATTACAGGGGAACTGGCTGAAACGAAGGCGGGGAGGTGGTGCACCTGAGCCGGCTGGCCGTGCCCTTTTGCAGGAGTGACCTAAAATAAGAGAACCCAAAACTTGCCCCGAAGACAAAACTTGAGCCCTCCCCCAATCATGATACTAATTACAAAGCGAGGGTCCCTGCTTCCTAACAAACAAACAAAAACAACAGGGACCTAGGAAACGCTGGAATCCTATCGAACGCCCCGATCCCCATCCCTCCCCCCCACGGCGGATGATGTAAGCCTTTCGGAGAGCGGGGCTCCGGAGCAAAACAAGCCCCGCGCGCGCGGAGGACCCGCAGTGCCCGAGCCGGGAGCACGCACGACCCGCCCCCCGCTCACGCCGGGCTGTGCACACGCGGCCGCCGGGACGCGCGGGCATTGTGTGCGGCGAGCGGAAAACAACAGGGGCGCCGCCGGCCCGAGGAGCGCCCCCATCACAGGAGGCCGCTTAGGGCCCCGGATTTCCAGACCCGGACCCGGACCCGGACCCGGACCGGGAGAGGGTGATGGTGGTGCTGGTGATGGAGTGGATAAAGTGGCCACCGAGGGTCTTCCCAGTTTGAAAGTGTGTGTGTGGGGGGAGATAACCGAGGGCCCAGCAAAGGGTCGCCCGTAGTTGGCTGGGGGTCGCCCTGGCCTGCGCCAGCCGCTGGTTGGGGTCGGGAGTGGGGTCTCGGCGGCCGGGGACGGCGGCGCGGCGCCCCACTCTCTCGGGGAAACCTGGGGGCCGTTGACATCACGTCATGCGGAGCCAAACAGCGCGGCGAAAAGAGGCAAGAGAGCTAAAAATACTCCCGCGGGAGCCGGCGGGTGCGGGGGCGGGGGAAGAATCGGGGGGGGGGGGCGGTGTGCAGCGGGATCGAGTGCGATTACGCACTCCAAGTTGACTTTGGGGCGCTGAGGCTCCGGGCCCCTCTTGGGGAGCCGGCGGACGCCTCGGGAGGAAGCCACTGGGCTCTCTCAGCCCGGGGAGCCCGGCGCTGCTGCTGCTGTCCCGCCCCATGCGGGGCAGCCCGGCCCTCTGCTTACGTGACTAGTGGCCACGCCGGAGCCCCGTCTGGGGTAAACAAGGAGGTGGCGGCGGCCAGGAAGGCCGGGGGTGGGGGGGAACGGAGACAGAGAAGGGGGGGGGCTGAGGTTTCCGATTGTCTGCGGGTGCCAAGGGGTGCCGGGACGCGGTGGCAGCTCCAGCAAGCCTCCTCTTACTTAATACACCCCTCTGGGAAAGAGGGGGCCACCCACTTCCAAGGTGCCCTCTTAAGGTGCACCCCCCCCCCTTCTCCGCCCCTGCAGATAGATGCCGGCGCAACCAGACGGGCTCCGGAGAACAGGGAACCCCGGGCTGCGGGGGGGGGGGGGGGGGGGGGGGCTAAAGAAGCCGCGCCCCTCCCCCTCCAACAAAAGCAAACACACCAGACAAAACCAGGTCCTCTCCGCGTCCCCACCGGCCCCGGCTTCTCCGCGACTACCCGCCTGACAAATGCACAACCGCCACCACCATCATCCCCCCCCCCCCCCAACACACACACACACCCCGAATAACAACCACAATCCGATCTGCCTGCACAGCCGGCCGATGCGCCTTTCTCCAAACCCAGGCAGGCGCTCTCCGGGAAAACCAGAGAGCAGAGAAAGGAAAGATCGCATCGCCGACCCCCCCTCTCCCCCCCAACACAAATCCTCGTTGTTGTTGTTGTTGTTGCCTTACAGCTTTTGAAAAATTGCGTTGCCAGCACAGGCTTACTTGAACCCCGGAGGCCTGGGGAGTCGGTCCGGGAAGGTGTTTTTGTGTCGGAGGGTTGCTGCTGTTGTTGTGTGTTGTTGGGGGGAGGGGGGAGGTTACAGTATCTGACACGTTGCAATCGGACCCCCCCCCCCTTTCTTATTGATCTTGCTACTTGTTCGGACAGATTGCACAGACTGGTTTTCTCTGGTCTGTCGTTCTCCCTGCCCCTGCCCCTGCCCCTGCCCCTGCCCCCGCCTCGCAGCTATTATTCGTGAGGACCGGGCCGGAGACACCGCACACGCGGGCCCCCATTAGGGCGCAGAGCCGGCTGCCTGGGGAGGACTGGGGGGACCCGGCTGGCAGGAGCAAAAATGAAACAAAAATAAAAAAATTTAAAAAAGGAGGCCAGGCCGGGGTGGGGCTCCCAGCCCCCTTCTCCCCCCTCCACTTCCCCCCCCCCCACACCGCATCCCTCGCCACCTGAGCCGGGTGGCATGGTGGGGGTGGACGGTAGAAATCGGCCAGAGAGGCATTTGCCTGCCTCGCTCGCTCGGGAGCCGCCGTCTCCCGGAAAATAAAGAAACCGCACACAACAGCCCACACCTTCTTCCCCAACTATTGTTTCCTGCGAGATCCCAAAGTTTCCTTCTCTGGCTGCGGCCCCCTCGCCAAGTTCCCCCGGAGGACGGCGGGTTCGGGGCGAGCTGCGGGCGCTGCTCGGCCCAGCCGGCCTGCTTCTGGGGGGGAAGGGGGCGTTCGGGGGGGGGGACCCCAGGGCAACCGAGGCGAAGGGGCACGGAGCCGGAGGACGCGATGGCCTGAGCCCAGCCCTTGCTGCGAGAGGGGAGAAAAAGAAAGAAAAAAAAAAAAAGAAAGAAAGAAAAAAAGCGAAGTGGCCGAGAGGGAGGGAGCAGCCAAGCCGAGCCGGCCCGAGCCCACGCCGCGCAGGGCTCCCCGGCGGCGGCTGCCGTTGTTATTGTTGTCGTGTGCGCGCCTGTGTGTTCCCTTTCCGAAACCGCTGAGCACTGCCTGCCTACGGGTTCCCAACTTTCGGCTGCTCATCCTCCCCACCCCACCCAGGATCGAGCGACAGAAAAACAACACTTGTCTGCCCGAGGAGGCTCCGGAGGAAAAAAAAAAAAAAAAAGGAAGAAAGAAAGGCGACCTCGGAGAGCTGAGTGAGCTCTGGGCTCAGTTGTCAGAAAACAACAACACTCCCTCCCCAGCTCCTCGTCCAGGCGATCCTCCTCCCAGCCTGCGGGGGACGGACAGACAGATGCCCGGACACCCCCCCCCCCCTCCAGCTTCCACCTCACCCCCCCCCCCGTCGTCTTTGTTACATCTTTAGCAGCAGCTTTGTGCGTGCGTGTCCTTTCTCCCGTGTCATCGGTTTTTCCTGCCGAGGAGCTGGATGGGTGTTGGGGGGAGGGAGACGCGGGCCGAGCAGGCGACAGGGGTCGCCCCAAGTGGGCGAGGAAGAAAGAGCCGGGGCCCCGAGAAGGAGCGGGGGGAGGAGGGGGAGCGCCCCAAACTTACTTTTGTTTTCTTTCTCGATCTGCTCCAGGTAGCTGGCGGCCTCGAGCAGAATCTGCACGTTCTGCAGAAAAGTGTTGATGTGCTTCTCCATCGAGTTCTCGCTGGTGTTGAAGATGTCCGAGAAGGGGCACCTGAGCTTGGCCCCCGCGGGCTCCTCCGGCGGGGCCGGGGGCTGGGGCTGGGGCTGGGGCTGGGGCGCGGCCGGGGGCGCGGCGGGGGCCAGCCCCGCGCCCTCGCCCCGCGCCTCCTTGCGCGGCCGCCCGCGTTTGCCCATCGGGGGACCCGGGGCCGCCGAGCTCGTCCTCCGCGGGGAGGGCTGCGCGGCCCGGCTGGGCTCGAGCCCTGGGGAGACCTACCCGGCGGGGCTGGGGCGGAGGAGGAGGCGCCCGGGCGAGCAGGCGATCGGACTCGCCGAGCCTCGCTGCGCGCAGTGGTGAGCCCGAGTGTGAGTGCGCGTCCGCCTCGCTCGCTCGCTCGCTCGCTCGCTCGCAGCGGGTCTGTGAGTAGGGGAGATTGAATGAACCTACAGGACAGACGGAGGCGCTCTGCCGCCTGGGTCCTAGTGCGAGATCGTCGTCGCCAGCCGGCCGGTCAAAATAAAAAAGGTGGAGACTAAGCGAGGCGGGGACCGCCCCCCCCCCCCCCCCCGGCCGTCCCCGCACCCCTCCCCGCCCCGCCGCAAAGCTTGCCTCGGTGCACAGCGCCCCGTGTTCTAACCGGAATGGAAAAAATACCCGTTGCCCCTGATGGCACCTGCATAAAAACAAACTACGAAGCTATTTATTTTTTCCCCCCTTCACATCAAAATATTACCTCATCTGAAAAACGTCCAGCACAAGGCTTGGCACATAATAGGTCTCCAATAAATGGTAGCAGCTATGACTGAAAAAAAAATAAAATAAAAGCCCAATCAAGAAAATCCATCACATGTCATCTGAAGTCGTCGTCTTCCCCCCCCCCCCCCCACGCAAGGCCTTGTGCCTTCAAAGGGCCTTCCCAGGCCAACAAATCCCAGGTTACAGATTTACTCTCTTTCTTTCTCCCTTCAAATGCAAAGTTTCATCCAGGAAGGGGAGGAGATGTAAGCATGTCTCCGTACTCCACTTCCCAGCGCTGGTCCAGCTGTGCAAAGCTCACACCAGGGGGCCGTCACACCTGGCCCTTTATTTGACAGAGAGGCAGGCCTGGCAGCCCAGGTCCACCCCTCTCCAGCTGAATTCCACCTTTTGGCTCTGAAGACCCCAGCATTATTTTCACTGCCGCTGCTGTCACCCAGTCAGGGTCTGCAGGGTCCCTGGGTGCTTTCCAGACCTGGGAAGTGCCCTGGGAGTCAGGGATATTTGAAGATATTTTAAGGCCTCTGGGGAGTGCCAGAGAGAACGGTTCAAGTCCCACCTCTGATGCAGATAGACTGTGTGAGCTTGGGCAACTCCCCTAATCTCTAGCCTGAGTTTCCCCACCTGTGAAACAAACAGTCTTGTTCTTGCCAGGCTGGTGTGGCTCAGTACAGAACGTCGACCTATGAACCAGGAGGTCATGGTTCGATTCACAGTCAGGGGACATGTCCAGTTGCCACTTCATCCCCAGTGTGGAGCGTGCAGGAGGCAGCTGATCAATAATTCTCTCTCACCATTGATGTTTCTCTCTCTCTCTCTCTCTCTCTCTCTCTCTCTCTCTCTCTCTCTCTCTCTCCTCCTCTCCCTCTCCCTCTCCCTCTCCCTCTTCCTCTTCCTCTCCCTCTCCCTTCCTTTCTGAAATCAATAAAAAATATATTTAAAAGAGAAAACATTAGGGAAAAAAAAGTCTCATTAAATTGTATCTGCCCTGCACACACTACCTGGCACATATTTTTCTTCCAATCCAGACCCAGACAAGAGTCTGGGTCCCCTACTGCAGTGGTGGGCAAACTGTGGCTCTTGAGCCACATGCAGCTCTTTGGCCCCTTGAGTGTGGCTCTTCCACAAAATACCACAGCCTGGGCAAGTCTACTTTGAAGAAGTGGCGTTAGAAGAAGTTTAAGTTTAAAAAATTTGGCTCTCAAAAGAAATTTCAATCGCTGTACTGTTGATATTGGGCTCTGTTGACTAATGAGTTTGCCGACCACTGGCCTACTGCATTCAAGAGAACATATGTTGCAGGAAACAAGACTTCTGCCCTTTGTTGGAAAACATCTCTGCATCAGGCCCCTCTAAATACTGTCACCTGGCAAGGCCACCTGGAGTTCTCCCAGGGGACCATTTTAGAGAAGACACAGGGATGCTGCCCCCTAGAGTTGTGTCACCCAGCCACCCCACTCGGAGGCAGCTTCACACACAGGTGTCAGGAAGACTTTTGGCGGAAATGGAAACTTTTTGGAAAAAGGAGAGAAAGTGCATTTCTTTATAAAACACGCACTAATAGAAACTGGAGTGCACACACCCCCACAGAGCCTTCAGAAAAGCCTTTTGTACTTTTATAATACAGCAGGTCCTCAAATAACGTCATTTTGTTATGTTAGTGAGATGCTGTAGAAACTTGTTTATATTAACTAGCCAATGGGAAAATGGGTTTTCTTATAAGTTATTTTGCTTAAAGTCGCAGAACCTATGGACAATGTTAGTTGAGGGCCTTTTGTAATACGTACTAAAAACAGGCTGCTGGTGTGACAGGAACAATCAGTCACTGACTTTGCAAAGCCAACGTATTCCGAAGAGCTACAAGATAAAAGTTCACCTCCCATTATCACAATAACCACTGACTTCTTGTTTCTATCAGAACCACAACCTGGGTTATTCATGTTTAAAATCTATAAATGTGGCCCTAGCCAGTTTAGCTCAGTGGATAGAGCGTTGGCCTGCAGACTCAAGGGTCCCGGGTTCGATTCCGGTCAGGGGCATGTACCTTGGTTGCAGGCACATCCCCAGGGGGCGGGTGCAGGATGCAGATGATTGATGTTTCTCTCTCACTGATGTTTCTAGCTCTCTCTCCCTCTCCCTTCCTCTCTGTAAAAAATCAATAAAACATTTTTTTAAAAAATCTATAAATGTGTGAGGGCTTTAGGAAGTTACAGTTTCAAACAAGTTTTATCCAATACCATTTTGCAAAAACTGACATTTGTGTGAAATAGCCCTGATCTTCCCCAGCCCTAAAGAAAAGATGATAGTGAGACAATGAACCGGGGAAGCCCAGACCCCAAAAACCTTGGTCTCTCTAATTCCCAGGAGGAGGCCTGGGCCAACATGCACATATGCAGTCCTGTGACCTATATTTCCGTGTGCGTGCACTCATGTGCTCACACACACATGAAACAGGCACACTGCACGAATGAGTGCAGGGGTGGTAGTAGGGTATGTTGTAATGATTTATTTATCCTTATTTCATCTCTCGTAGGTCTGTGAGCCTCAGAAAGCCCAGCGGGAATCTTCAAGCGGGGCCATGGATCTGACCAACGCCAAAGTAAACAATGGCTTGAGGAAAATCTACAAAAAGTGCTGATTTGCACTATTCCCACAGATGGCCACAGCCCCCACCACCATTCCCATGGAAAACACTACCGCGGTGCCAAATCAAGTTTCTCCCCCCCCCCCCATCATAGGGGCATTGTTTTTTGTTATTATGTGAGTGCTTAGCATCAGACAATGGCACCACAAGAGACACAGTGGAGGCAGGAGAAACGCCTTTTTGCTTCACAAAGTCTGTGCTGCCGTAGCTCACATGTAGTCTCGGCGCGTATACTCGTTTTGGTAACATGTACGTGGAGGGATGAACGTGTCAGGCTAAATTAGCTGCAGGCCCCTTTCTTGGTTTTGCAGAGCCCATCAAGTGTTAAATCATGTTAGCCTCCTAGAGACTCCCCTCCCCCACCGTCCCCAATTAACAGGTTTCTCTAATAAAAATGGCCTCAGCAGATAGAGCGGCGGTTCAGGGGTTATGTCATGGGACAGGCCTCCAGGATGCTGGGTTACAAGCTCAGCTCCATTCCCGATTAGCTTTGCTTCCCAGGAGGAACCATTCAAAAAACCCTCTGCACCTCGCTTTCTCCGGGGCTTTGACTCCATAAGTGAACAGGCCTCTTAGGAAACTGGCCGGGAATTTGTGCAGAGAACAGGTAGGGCTGTGGTTGACAAACTGCAGCTCTCGAGCCACATGCGGCTCTTTGGCCCCTTGAGTGTGGCTCTTCCACAAAATACCACAGCCTAGGCGAGTTTATTTTGAAGAAGTGGCATTAGAAGAAGTTTAAGTTTAAAAAAATTTGGCTCTCAAAAGAAATTTCAATCGTTGTACTGTTGATATTTGGCTCTGTTGACTAATGAGTTTGCCGACCATTGAGGTAGGGGATAAGAAGGCAGGTGCAGTCCATGAAGAACACGTGTACTCTCTGAAAGGAAAGTGTGACTGTGTGCCCAGAAGGCCGGCCACAGCGTCCTAAAGGCCCAAGGTGTCTAGAGGTGCCTGCTCAGCATGGGTCTTATCTTCCAACCTTCTTTTCCTTTCTTCAGCCTGTTTGCCTGTGGGTAATATTTTCCCATCAACCTTGTTTGCATTCTAAAGCAAGACCACTCTTTTATTTGCCCCTCTTTCCCCCCAGACATGCTGTACTCTTACTTCAAAGGAGTTGTTTTGTCTGTAATCGTGTTTTCAGGTGCACAGAGGTTGGTTAATCACCGACATGGTGCTGGGACGGTTGCCCAGACCTCCCCTTCCTGCAACAGTATGGGATGCTGGGATCCCTACGCTGGACCATTCTGTCTCTCCTGGGCTCCTCAGCTCTGCTCTTCCTCCTTACCTGTTCTCTCCTCGCGAGGCCTTCCTATCTAAGTCTGTCCCGCCAAAGTCTAGCTTTTCTTTGGACCTTGCCAGCATGGCCAAGTCAGGTTCTTCCCTGCTCTTTGACCTGTGGTCTTTGTACTCAGGCTTGATAAAGACCATCAAGAGATCGCCTGCCCCTGCATTGGCACTTGAGTCCTAACCCCTAGAGCTTTCCCAGCCAGGTTTTTCCTGGGCACGTTTCCCTTTGATAAGGCATCATGGCAATGAGTGGAGGAGCTGGCTTAGGGCTCCTTCTCTCCTTAAGAGTCTTCATAGTGTCTTCATCTATTAGAAGGGAGCCCCACGACTAGTCAGGAGCTGTAAGACACAAGTAGCATGTCAGGAACAAGGAGAGCTGCCTCTCCCAGTGGCTCCTGGCACAGCCTTAAGAGTGTTGACCAGGCCTCCTCCAACCACTCCCCGCTCCCACCCACACCCAGCGGGTGTAGACATGGGCAGAGGATAAATAGCCTCCACCCTCCATGG